AATAAATACCTAAAAATGTGGAAGTACCTTTGGAAATGGATAATAGGCAGAGGCTAGAAGAATTTTGAAGGACTTGATAGAAAAATCCTAGATTTCTGTATTAGTCTGTTTCTGTTGCTTATAACAGAATACCTGAACCTGGGTAATTTATAAAGACATGAAATTTATTTCTTATGGTTTTGAAGGCTGGGAAGTCCACGGTCCCGGGGGTGCATCTGGCGAGGGCCTTCTTCTGAGTGGAAACTCTCTACAGGGTCCTGTGGCAAGGCAGGGTATTATGTGGTAACAAAACGGAAAGAGCTCTCTCATGTGCTCCTTGTAAAGCCACCTGTCCACACCATGATAACTTATTACTCCATGAATGGATTAATCTATTCATGAGGGCACAGTCCTCATGATACAATCACCTTTCAAAGGCCTCACCTTTCAGATATAATTGGATTTCCCACTCTCTTAACACTGTTACAGTGGGGGTCAAGCTTCCAACACACGAACTTTAGGAAGACACATTTGACCTATAGCAACTTTTTTGAACAGACTGTTCATAGGAAAATAGACATTAAAGTTGCTGTTGGTGAGGTTTCAGAAAAAAGTGAGAAGCATGGTAGAGAAAGTCTGTATCATCTTAGGTAATACGCATATTGTCATAAATGTTGCTAGAAGCATGAATGTTAAAGGCACTGCTGGTGAAGACTCAGAAGAAAATGAGGAATATGCATTGGGATTTTTTTTTTCCTTTGGTAATTTGAAGGAAGAGGTTCTATGAAATATAATGTTCTACAATAATGTGGAAAGCAGAATTTGCAAGCAGTGGACTTGGATATTTGGCTGAAGAGATTTCTAAGCAAAGTGTTGAAGAGAAGGTGTGGCCTGGTTTATTCTTACTTCTTATAGTAAAATGTGAGAGGAAAGAGATTAATTGAGAGAAGAGCTATTAAACCAAATGGAACTAGGATTAGGAAATTCTCAGCCTATCCAGGTTGCAAAAGTTGCTAAATTTAGATTAACTGTTAAGAGTGCGCTCAGGAGAGAAGGTCAAGAGTGTAACTGGACCTTTTTTCTAGTGTTGAAGAGATTGGGTGTGTGACTTATAGATCCCCTCAGCCATCTCAGCAGCATCCAGGAAAAGATATGGGATTAAACAAGAAAGATCTAATGGCATAAATCCCAATGACATACATAAGAGACTCACAAAATGTTTGAAAACGTTGTATCACTAAAAGCTCTGCTAGCTTGGCCTGGAAGGGACAAGTCTGATAATTTGTTACAAGAGCCATGGGAAACTAATATAAATAGCTAGGCATTTTTTGAGCACTTACTATATGCCAATACTCTGCCTGCTTTATATGTATTATCTCATTTAACCTAACATCGAGCCTATAATGTAGCAACTATTGATATCTCTACTTTCACAAATTTTATTTATTTTTATTAATTTAACAAGCACTTATAGAGCACTTAGTAATTTATAAGTACATTATGAATACTAACTTATTTAATATTGGTTTTATCTTCATTTTATGCCTCACTTACCCTCCCTCTTTACCTCAAATGGCCATTAGACCCTCTTACTTTTTCTAATTGGTTAGTGTTTTTTGTGTGTCCCTTGATGCATTTGAAGTGACTGTAATTCTGTGATGCTCATTGTACCCTAGGTTTATATTTCGAGTTCTTCAGGGATCCCTGTTTCCATCTCTAATTCTGAGAGCTAAGCACTTTGACAGACTAACTCCAGAGGAGAGGACTGAAGCTCTCAAGAAATGGAGAGGGTCCGGAAAAATGAATCAAGTGACATCTAAGTATGCTGACCGATCAGCTGTCAAGTCAGGAAGAAAACCCATGTCTGGCCCTTCTGCTGTCTTTGCAATGAAGTCAGTGTCTTCTTGTGCTGTTCAGCAAGGAAACCTATCTGTATGTGAAACTGCTTTAGACCTATGCTACTCTAAATCTAAGGTCTCAAAGATAGCTTGACCCTCTAAAGGTTAAGAAAGCAGGGTACCGTCCTTGGAGTTGCAACTATTCTTTCAAATTTGGAAGAGGGATTTTGAAGAAGCACCTCAACCAAGCAAGAATATCTTGTATTTTCCCATAAGGGACATGAGTATTTTACTGGGCTTGAAGAAGACAATGTGAAGACAATTATTGTATGTTTGTATATACATTTGTAAAAGAGGGATAGAGTTTGACCTGGACAGAGTTTAGAAAAGTGAAATATTTAATTTGGAATCAAAAGCTTTTATGAAACTTTTTGGATTTTGTAGAAGCATGTTAACTGTCTTAAAAATGCGAACATTTTTAAGGGTGTTCAATTGAGAGATATTTATTTTATTGAGAGATCTCATATTCTTGGAAAATGCTTTAAATGCGCAGGCTCCAATCTGAATTTTTTTTTTAATAAAAAAGTAGTTTTTAGATTGATTAGTTAGGACTCAGAAGAAATTTCCATATTTACAGCTAAATTCCCAAGAGCCTTTTAAACAACAATATACCTGAAATAGGGTAATAATTGTACTGTTTAAAATATAGTTAGTGTTATTAATAGCTTTTTATTTTCTATGGCAATCTGCCTTTGGTCTTCTGACTGAAGATGTTAGACATACCTCTCTGCTCAGTTCAGTGTTTTTCTAAGGTGGGGCTTTGTCTTAGTTCATTTTCCGTTGCTATAACAGAATACCACAGACTGGGTAATTTTTAAAGAAAAGAAACTTATTTCTTACAGTTCTGGAGGCTGGGAAGTCCAAGAACATGGTGCTGGCATCTGGTGAGGGCCTTGTTACTGCATCGTAACACAGTAGAGGCCAAGAGCATGCATGTCAGCACAGGTCACTCTTCCTCTTCTTATAAAGCTACCAGTCCCATCATGGGGGCCCCACCCTGAAAACCTTATCTAATTTTGATTACCTCCAAAAGGCGCCACCTCCAATCAACATATAAATTGAGAGATTTCAACGCATGAAATTTAGGGGACACATTTAAACTACAATAAACCTTCATTGGGAAGGGGCAGGAGGGACACTAGGGTTCCATCAGGTAACAGGAATGTGTTCCTCTTTCTTAGCTTCTGGTCAAGAGAAGACCTTTCATGAGGTCTGCCTCTATGCAGATGTTATCAATTAGAAAGGCCACAGGTCATGCAGACAGAATCAGCTGAGCCTACAGCCCATTTGGCAATTTCCTGTATTCTAAAACTGAAAATAGCGTGATCAAAATGAGACAATCAATCAATTTTAAAAAACATCTTCCAAATACCACTTGAGGGTTCATAGATTTTACAATACCCTATAATTTTTCTGTTGTTGTAGCCTCTACAAAATGAGATGTGAATTGAGACTAATACAGGTGGTTCTCAGAAGGTTTCCATGAGGTTCTTAGGTAAATCTGTTTTTTAATAAACTTTAAAACAGGAATGTCTATGTAAAGTTTACTGCTGTTGCAAATCATGTATGCTGGCTTTCACTGGAACCAGAAAACTAACTTATACCAAGAAAGGCCAGGTGCTATTATAAAATTGTGTATTCCTGTTGAAATTCTTTTAAAACTCTCTCTCTATTCAACTGAAAGTTGTCAGCCACCAGTCATCCAGAATGTCCTTCATGAATCTCCATACTAATGTTCAATGTCTACATCAAGGTCTTCTTAATGACTATTAAACTATTATTCTCAGAGCTTAATCTTCACCCTGCTGCCTACTATTCTAGTCTGACATTTTTTATAGCCTTTTTATATTATTGCAAATAGTCTTTTACGTAGACTGAGTTTTAGAACTTTCAAAATTCCACATGACAAATGGAAGTTGCTTTCTGCTTCCTTATGATGTTTTTTAAATAAACTTTAATAAATAATGTGTACTGAAAAACTGTCATCACTCCTGTTGACACTCATTGATTCCAACTGTAATTAGTACCAGAACTTAGAAGGAAAGTCCCACACCTTACCAGAATATAGTTTTGGCCTTTTTTTACATGCAAGTATCACTGATGTCATATAATTTGTTATCCTCATAGCAGCTGGTGTTCAGTCCCTGAGATCATTATCTTCTGATACATAAAAATTTAGGGTTATATTCACTTATAAATAACAGGTTAGACTCTAAGGAGTAAAAGAATGAGCCAAAAACACCAAGAAGAGTCATTTTCCACAATGTGAATTATCGATACATATGAGTAGAGGAAAATACTGTGTTCATGTTATAGGGACACAGTCTTGTATCCACAATTTCCAAATCCCCAAATCTCTGAAAACTGAAAGATTTGTCATAAATTAGGCACAAACTTAATGCCCTGAACAAATGTGAGGCTATTTATATACTTTACTTAATATAATTATTCATATATTTTGCTATAAAAATATTAATGTATTTTATCACCAGGTGCTAAGTTGTATTATCTTTCTAAAATCTGGAAAAATTCTGAACGATAAAACACATCTGGTCCCTAGGCAGAAGAGATTTAGGACCTGTATTAAGCCTTTACAGGGTCGCATTTACAAGTAAATAATTTTTACACAGTTACCCAAGATGATGTGATCCATTGCATTTGGTATTTAGCATATTTCACCAAATTGTGGGGGACCAAGCATTATATCATTGCTTCCAATAGCCAAGAAAAATTGATTAAAAGTATGTATTTTGGGACATAATTTTATTCCATAAGGTTTATAAAAGAATTGAATCAGGTTCACTAAATGTACTCTAAACATTAAAGATCCATATGCTCTTATCAGGACTAAAGTTTTCATTGAACAGTCAACAGGTTATTTGAGACTACTGGCAACCTCTAATTTTAGATTAATCAAGGGGCCATTCACTAGTTATCTAAAATAAATGAGTCTGTACCTGTGAGATTGAGATATAAAACAAGTAAATTTTGGTTGCTGGGAATCTGGGCACCAGCAGCATGCTACTATACAGGGAGAAACAATTTCCTGGGACTCGGTATTTATGCTGTATACCATCCAAAAAAAAAAAAAACAAAAAAAGATTACATACCATTTTATTTGTGTTAAGAATTATGTAAAATAAATACAATGTGTATATTTCACTGAACATAAGTTGAGTAAAGCTAAAAGTTGTTACATATGAATACATATCTACAACTGTAACAAAACTGACGTTCTTAAACTTTCATAAAATTGTGACCACAATTGCTAGATTTCACGCTCACTAGGTTTATACAAAGACAGTAAGTGAATAACATGACAAGTGTTAAAACAATTTTTTGAATTTCAAATATGTTTACACATAGAAAAGAATACAAAAATACATGTATAAAATTGCAGGTAGTCTCTATTGGAATGCTGTGGCAGCCCAGGTTGCTGGTGGAGGTTCAAAAGGCATTTGGATTTTGCAAAATGGATACCTGACTATTTAAATTAGGTGTATATGAAGATTTGTGTTTTGAAGCTTTGTAGCGGGGAAAAATACTTTTAACCACTAATTGCTTCAGAAATTGATTTACATAAAGTGGCCTAGTGCTTTAAAGAATCTTTAAAAATTTGATTATCAATGAGAAGAAATGGCAAGACCAGATGTTAAACATCTTTTGAGAAAAATTACAGGATGTTTTACTCCATTTAACAAACTCCACTATGGGGAAAATTCTAGGGAGACTTCTCTATGAAACTACAGCCTCGATTTAAATCCAGAATGGGCGGTCCTATAATGCCAACTGTTAATATTGATGTCGAAAGAATTAAGCATTTGTCTTGCTATTTAATCTACCTAAATGGATGCTATTCGTCTTTTACCTCTGTCTTTCATAAGTTTTCAGAATTATGCAAACTTTAGAAGAGTAATAGTAAATAATTTAAGCATGTAAGTTATCTTGGCTTTTAATAAATCAAGAGCAGGTTTCCAATGTTAATATTGAAATTTGCCACTAAGCTACTGTGCCTGAGAAACAAACTGACAGAGTCAGACTGGATCTCAATATCACTTTTGTGATAGGATAAAAGGGAACCTGTTACCCTAATGCCTGCATTATTTTAAATCTCTCTGGAGTTTAATTTCATGTTGTAGTCAAGGTTAGGCCTTGGCAAAAGAACAAAATCTGCTTTGTTTTGTTTTATTTAAAAGCCTTTCATGGAACTTGAAATAACAGAAAAATAAAGTTGAAAACAACAGTTGAATAAAATTAACCCAAAACAAACATGAAAATTTGCAGTGCACTGTGGAGCATCCCTGTCCATGAAAAGCTCTCTGCAGGAAACTGTTTACAGTCAAGAAGGCGTTTTTTTTTGAGTGTAGATGGTAGAAGTCTCTGATCATCCTTGGAATTAGTTTAGGAGAAAGGTCTGGATATATATTTGTCTTTCAATCCATTCGACGAAGTATGACACATTGCTATAAACTCCAGGCCCCAGGAGTTTGGAAAAGCAGACGGAGCCCCATGAAGTTAAACCAAATAATATCCACTGTCCTCCACGCTGCTCACAAACAAGAGGCCCACCGCTGTCACCCTGTAATGAATAGCAATGGATATTTCAGAGCTCTAATGATGTCCGTATTATCCTTAGGATAAAATAAAGTCAAACACAGCTTAACCAACTTGGAAAACTTCAACAAAGCTTTTATGATCAGCCTGTGGAGGGAGTATATTTTCCACATGTCCAAATAGCATTTTCAAATGAACATTTTAAGCTCTGGTTTTTAAAAGGATTGGGGGTGGGAAGTGGCTTGTTATGGAATTATATTTTTTTCATGAAATTATAAGATAGTCATAATATTGATATTTATTATTATTTTATTTTTATAATAATATTTTATAATAATATATATATAATATATAATATAATTATATATAATATATTATTTTATAATAATATAATATATTATATTATTTATATATTATTTATATTTATAAAAATATAAAAATATTTTATAATAATATTTTATAAATAATAATATTTATAAGATATTCATAATATTGATATTTATTATTACCTAAGAATTGATATTTATTATTATTATTTTATCCAATTTGGAGATAATGAAACTGAAACACAGGTTAAATAACTTGTTCATTGACAGAGCCAGGACTTAAACCCAGGCAGTCTGGCAACAGGACTCCAACTCTATAACTACTAGGCTATCTTGCTTCTTAAGAGTGTTAGTGAATATTATTGCTACAAAAACAAAATTGAATTTTTTATTAGGTTGTATGCTTTTGTGGAAATGTTGATATTTAAATTCACAACTTTCCAATGTTCTAAGTCTAAATAATAAGCATAGAACTTGCAAGGGACTGATTAAATCTTTCTGCCTAAAAATCTAATTGAATTTTTAAAAAAAAAATTTTCTGGAAACATTTTTATTAGACATTTCACAAAACTTTTTTCATCTCCCCTTATATAAAATAAAGTTACTTAGGTTGAACTATTTATTATGGCATAGAATGATTAAAACAGGACACGTTTAGACGTCAGCACTTAACTTCCAGATCAGAAATTTAGCCAAATAAGTATTTAGCATCTACTATTTGCAAGGTTCTGTGCTAGGGTTTACACAAATGAAGACACTACTTTTGTCCCAGAACAACCCGAAGTCTGCTGGGGTAACAAGAATAACATTATATGAAAGCAAAATCTGAGGGCTATAAAGAGTACTTCAAAGGAATGAGTGATTACTTCCAGGTGGAAAGGAATAAAAAATGACTTTCTGAGATGTGGTGTTCGGTTCACCTTACTGAGTCAGGTAGGTGTTGTGTTAGGTGGTAAAGAAGAGGTGAAGAGCAAGCAATTGAAAATGAAAGGGAGAACGCAGCTAAAGGCACAATTTTTTCTGGTCTTTCTGGTCCTCTTTTTCTCTTGGTAATATCAGGCTTTAAGCCAAAGTTCATGTTTGGTTTCAGTATTGATCTACAAGATTTATAGACTGTCACAGAGGGACCCACGGCTTCCAATGTATCCTGTTGATGCATTAATTGGATAAAGTACATCATGTAATAGAGGTTTGAGTATAAAAATTTGCTACACATCTAGTAAAAAGCTTTTGTTTGTGTTTTCTGTTTTGTTTTGTTTTCTGGCTGGGGTTGTGTTAAAGAATATCTGGTATGCATTTAATATGCCCACAGTGCTGAACTCCCACTCCTAAAGAAGTTGGCAAGACCTGGTTCCTGTTAAACATCATGATATCAATATGCTCGTACCTGTGCTTGGGCCTTCATTTGCCTTTCAAAGAATCACCTTCCTTTCCCTCCTTTAGCAATTACCAAGAGATAATCTTGAATGTGTGCCAAGAGGTGCTAGTTTTTGGTAGACCTCCAAATCACATTGGGGAAAGAAAGAAATGTATTCACACTAATCATTGCTATGAGGACAGGGTAGTGGCCAAGCACTTGGGCCCTGAAGCCAGCAGACTGCCTGGTTTCATATCCTTACTCTACCACCTTCATGCTGGGTGATCTGGGACATATTACTTAACCTCTCTGCTTTCTTGTTTTCTTGATCCGTTTAGGGAAAACAATGACGCTGCCGCATAGAGAGATTGTATTAAATGAGTTATTAGAAAGCATTTTGAAAAGAGCCCAGCACACAACCAGCACTAATCTGATATATGTTAATATTAATATAAGTACTATTCATTGAGTGTCTAAGCATGTACTAGACATTGTACAGTCTGAAAGACTGGAGCTTTCACACATGTTAACTCAGTTAATCTTCAAAATGCTCTGAAATCAGACAGAACTAGCCCCATTTTACTAATGAGAAAACTGTCTAGAGAGATTAGACAACTTCCCCAGGTTACACTGTTCTTGCTGGCAGATATGGGATCCAACAGATTTTTGGATCCAACAAGCCCCACATCATGCTGCCTCCTAAAACTTTTTTTTTTTTTTTTTTTTTTTGGCTTGGGAAATCAAACCTGAGCCTCTTGTACAGAAGGGAGGGATTCCTCTACCACTGCCCACCTCAGCTGATGACTTGTGGCCATGAGGCAGAAAGAAGAATGACCTCAGTGAAACTCCAAGGGAGCTGCCTGCCTCCCTCTTTCCCATGACAACTGTCTAAGAAATCACCACTGGGCCATTTCCAATTGTCTGACTTTTCCATTCTAAAATGAACCATCAAAAATGTTATTTAATTATGCTGAGTTAATAGTAATAGCATTGTTGTAGCTCTTTAATGCTAAAATGTGGGGAGTTGGGGAGGATGTCATCAACATGGCGGAATAGATGGTCCCTAACATCACTCTCCTTCACAACTGACCAATTTGCAACTATTAAAAAGCAAAGACAGCCAACCTGGGAATGTTGGAGCTCAGAGGAAGAGGAGGAGAGACCTGAGGAGTTTGTGAAGGTGGGAGAAGCCACAATGAGAGGAAAAACTGCTCCAATCTTTTCAAGCCCTGGCTGCTTCCCAGTCAGTCCTGTGAGAAGTAGAAAGCAGCTGCAGCACACACAGCATGAGCAAGCAAAAGCCACAGCTGAGCCCTTTGTGTGAAGTTGCCTGGAATCTGCAGGACAGAAGAGGGTCTCGGAGCACACCATACCAGCCCCCAGTCCAGCAAGACCACTGACAGGGTTCCCATGGACCCACATAGGAGGGAGGGGATGCAGCCAACTGAAGAAAGGAAGTACCCAAGACCAATGAGTCATTGCGAGGGACCAGCACACGGCCCACCCCGCAGGAAGTGCTTGGAGTGCAGGAGGGACACTAGTCCTCAAGGAGAATATTGGGGGGCAGAGTGGGCAGCTGATCTGGCTTCCAATCAGCACAGGCCCACTCAGGGGAGACAGGTCAGGCATAGAACTGCAGGGGGTGAAGTTTGCTGGAAAGACTCAGTCCTGGGCCAGAATTTCCACACAGCCCAGGTGTATCTGGCCTCAAAAGACCCAGTAGTGATTGAAAGGCCAGCAATTAAAATCTAGTCCACACAAAAAGGTTTACCCAGAGAATCAGCAGCAAAGCAGCAATTTAGTGTAACCACAGAGGTTAAGCGCTGGTCCCCACAGGAAGTTTCCCCAACTTTGGAACTAACCAAAGCCACAGACCAGAGACAAAGCTCTGATACTAATTAGTAAAGGTCTAACACCACCAATGAACACCTATAAAACCTAGAAGAGGAAGCAGTCTCCTCACCTGCCCACACATCAACATAAAGGCACAAACACAAAGAAAGAAGATAGAAATATGACAACAACATAGGAAACAAATGAAGCAACAGCAACAGACCCAGAGGAACAGTGAATTTATAAAACATCTGACAGATAATTTATAGTAACCCTCTTAAGGATGTTCAGGAAGTCTCAGGAAAATACAGATAGAAAATTAAATGATATCTGGAAAATAATCCAGGAACAGAATGAGAAAATTGACAAAGGAATTGAATCAATTTTTTAAAAAAGAAATTCTAGAAATAATGCATTATCAGAACTGAAAAACTTGATAGAAAGCTCCAACAGCAGAATTAATCAAATGGAGTAAAAAATTTTTGAGCTTAAAAATAGAACATATGAAATAATCAAATCAGAGGGAAAAAAGAAAAAAGAATAAAAGAAATTAAAAAAAAGAATAGAAAAAAAATGAAACAGAAATACAGCAAATATCAGACTACCTCAAGTGAAATAACCTCTGCATAATTGGTATACCCAAAGGAGAGAAAAAAGGAAGACATGTAGAAAGCATATTCAAGGACATAATGACTGAAAATTTCCCAAGTATGGCGAAAGATGACAGCACCCAGGTACGGGAAGCTCAGAGGTCCCCAAGCAAATTCAGTCCAAGGAGGAACACCCAAGGCACATCATAACCAAATTATCAAAAACCAAACAGAGAGAAAGAATACTGGAAGCAGCAAGAGAAAAGAAATGTAACATTCAATGGAGCCCCAATACATCTCTCAGCAGATTTCTCAGCAGAAACCAACAGGCCAGAAGACAATGGGATGATATATTCACGGTGCTGAACGAAAAAAAACCAGGCAGCCAAGAATTCTCCATCCAGCAAAACTGGGGAAACAGTCTTTCCCAGACAAACAAAAGCTAAGGGAATTCATTAACACTAGACCTGCATTACAAGAAATGTTAAAGGAAGTTCTTCAACCTGAAAGAAGATGATGCTAAGGAGCAGCAAGAAAACATTTGAAGATGCATAACTCATTAGTAAAGTAAGTTCACAGAAAACCTCAGAATACTCCCATGTTGTAAGGATGAGGAATGAACCATTTACATCCTTAGTATGAAGACTAAAGGAAAAACCTAACAAGACACTAACATATACAACAACCATATAAAAAATAGGCAATATTATATGATGTAACATGAAACAACACCTTGTCAAAAAGTGGGGGGAAATGATGCCAAAGAATAGAGGTGGATTTTTTTCTTTTTTATTAGATATCAAAGTTAATTTGTTATTAGTCTAAAATATTCTGTTATAACAGTAACATGTTTTTTATAAGCATCATGGTAGCCATAACACAAAGACTTATGAGACATACTAAAAATAGAGAGAAATCAAAATACACTGCTATATAGAAAACCACTCAATCACAAAGGAAGACAGGATGATTGGAAAAAAAGAAAAAAGACCAAGGAAACAACCAAAAAGAAAGGAACAAAATGGTAGTAACAATTCCCTATGTATCAATAACTTTAAACATAAATGGATTAAATGCCCCAATTAACACAGAGTGGCTGAATGGATTATAAAGCAAGAACCAACAATATATTTCCTACAAGAAACTCTTAACCAATAAAAACATACACTGAATATGAAGGGAAGGAAAAATATATTTCATGCAAATGCAAACCAAAAAAGATCAGGAGTCATTATACTTATATCAGATAAAATAGAGTTCAAGCCAAGGAGAGTAAAAAAAAGTTAAAGAAGGTCATTATATAATGATAAAGGGATCAATTCAACAAGAGGATATAACAATTCTAAATATATATGCACCCAACTCCAGAGCACCCAGTTATATAAAGCAATTACTATTAGAGCTGGTGGGAGAAATAGACTCCTTTTAAAAACAATAATAGTTGGGGACTTTAACACCCCACTTTCACCAAAGGACAGATCATCTAGTCAGAAAATTAACTAAGAAACATCAGATTCTCAATAAAATGCTAGCAAACAGAATGCAACAACACATTAAAAAGATCATTCACCATGATCAAATGGGATTCATCTCAGGGATGCAAGGATGGTTCAACATAAGCAAATCAATAAACGTGATACATCATATGACCAGAATGAAGGGGGGAAAATGATCATTTCAATAGACACAGAAAAAGTATTTGATAAAATCCAACACCCCCTTGTGATAGAAGGAATGTACCTCAGCACAATAAAGACCATATATCACAAACCCACGGCAAACATCATATTGAATGGACAAAAATTAGAGGCTTTTCCTCTGAGATCTGGAACAAGACTAGGATGCCCACTTTCCCCACTCTTATTCAATGCAGTACTGGAAGTTCTAGTTAGTGCAATAAGGCGAGAGAAAGCAATACAGGGCATCCAAATTGGAAAGGAGGAAGTCAAACTATCCCTATTTGCAGATGATATGATCATATACATAGAAAACCCTTACGACTCTACCAAAAAATTACTAGAACTAATAAATGAATTCAGTATAGTGGCAGGATACAAATCAACATACAAAAAACAATAGGCTTCCTATATGGCAACAATGAAATAGCTGAAGAAGGAATCAAGAAAGTAATCCCATTCACAGTAGCTACTAAAAAAATGAAATACCTAGGAGTAAGTTTAACCAAGGAGGTGAAAGACCTCTACAATTAAAACTATTAAACTTTGGTGAAAAAAAATTGAAGAGGACACAAATAAATGGAAAGATATCCCATGTTCTTTGGTTGGAAGAACTAACATCATCAAAATGTCCATATTACACAAAGCAATCTACACATTCAACACAATCCCTATCAAAATGTCAATGACATTCTTCACAGAAATAGAAAAAACAATCTTAAAATTTCTATGGAACAGTGAAAGACCCCGTAGAGTGAAAGCAATCATGAACAAATAGAACAAAGTTGGAGGCATCAAACTTCCTGACTTCAAGATATACTATAAAGCTATATGACCAAAACAGCATGGTACTGGCATAAAAATAGACAGAGCAATGGAAAAGAATAGACAGCCCAGAAATAAACCTGTGCACTTAAAGCCAACTGATTTTCAACAAAGGTTCCAAGAATATATAGTGGGAAAAGGACAGCCTCTTCAACAAATGGTGCTGGGAAAACCAGATATCCACAAATGAGACCCCTGTCTCTCACCATACACAAAAATCAACTCAAAATGGAGTAAAGACCTAAATTTAAGACTGGAAACTATGAACCTACTAGAAGAAAACATAGTGGAAATGCTATCTGAAATAGGGTGGGCAGCACTTTTTTGAGCAAGACTACAAATGCACAGGCAACTGAAGCAAAAAATACACAAATGGGACTCCATCAATCTGAGAAGCTTCTGTACAACAAGGGATACTATCCACAAAGTGAAGAGAACAACCTACAGAATGGGAGAAAGTGTTTGCAAACTACGCATCAGACAAGGGGCTAATATCCAAAATATGTAAGGAACTCGAACAACTCAACAGCAAAAAACAAATAACCCAATTAAAAAATGGGCAAAAGACCTGAACAGACATTTCTTAAAAGAAGACATACAAATGACCAACAAGCACATGAAAAAAATGCTCAACATCACTAATCATCAGGTAAATGCAAATTAAAACCACAATGAGAAATCATCTCACTCAAGGTAGAATGGTTATTATCAACAAGACAGAAAATAACAAAAGCTGGTGAGGATGCAGAGAAAAGGGAATCCTACATGAGTGGGAATGTAAATTGATACAGTCATTGTGGAAAAGAGTATGGAGGTTCCTCGGAGAACTAAAAATAGGTCTACCTCACCAACCAGCTATCCCACTAGTGAGTATATACCCAAAGGAAATAAAATCAGTATATCAAAAAGACACCTGCACTCCCATGTTCATCACAATGCTATCCACAATAGCCAAGAGATGGAATCAGCCTAAATACCCATCAACAGATGAATGGATTAAAAAACTGTGGTATATATACACAGTGGTATACTGTTCAGGTATAAAAAAAATAATATCCTATCATTTGCAGCAACATGGATAGAACTGGAAGCCATCACGTTAAGTGAAATAAGTCAAGCACAGAAAGACAAATACTGCATGATCTCACTCATATGTGGAATCTAAAAAAAAACAAAAAAAAACAATGATTCTTAGAGAAGTACAGAATGGAATAACGGTTACCAGAGGCTGGGAGGTGGGAGGGAGAAGATAAGTGGTGTACTAATTGGGACAAAACCATGTTATATATCCTAAGAGAATCATCGTGCAGTATATGCATGTATTGAAGTAACGTAAATATGTACCACACAAATATGTAAAAGAAAATGTTAGAATTTTTTTAAAAACCTGAAAATAAAAAGAAATAAAAATGAATGTCAAAAAACCACACAAAAAACAAAGGTGGTCCCTAGCAGTATAGTATGGTAACTGTCTTCCCCACATTGTTACCAGCTTCTCTGAGCGCTGAGCACTTACACATTTTCATCCCTCCCTGGGAGCCGGTCCAGTATAACATTCAACGAGCGTTTATGAAGTCAAAAGCAAAATGCTTCCCTGCACTGCTAGGTTAACACGCTCTACAAACTGTTGTGGCCAGGAATCTTGAGTGTCTAGAGATTGGGTTCAGTGACAATCAAATGTGAGCCCAGTGGGCCCAGACAATGCCAGCGTGATCACTCCTGAGACAGAGGTAGTTCTGTCACACAGCCTGGAAGTTGAAGTGTTGATGTGTGCCTTAATGCCATCACCCGAGTGGCTGATCACGTTCGCTGGTGGCCCCCTGCTCCCTGGGGCCTACAGGCTGGAGTCATGGTTACTACTCCTCTTAGAAACTCTTTTGTCCTAGCCACTAAAATGGTGGAACGAGATGGACGGGAACAATTGTTTCTCCTCCCGCTGCTGACCAAGGGTGGTATCCCCACACAGTAGGTGGGAAAGCTGAAGGCAACCCGAGTGACGGGGTAGTTGGGGAAATTACCTGGGCACTGGATGAAGGAAAACACATTGTGAATAATCAAACATTGAACAACAAACAGTATTCAAAACATGTTACCGAAGGGCTATACATGAATAATAATGAGTTCATAGAGACCCACCAACATTATTGCTGAACTGAACCTCCTCGGTAACAGAAAGCACCTTACCATGCATGAGTCAACCGTGCCAAACTCATATCCCGCACATATCATCCGGGTGGTGATGGTCTTCACATCAAAGTAGGACTGACACTGCTCCGGAGAAATAATGCGGACCTCTCCCTCTTGCAGCTTAAAAGGCACTGGATTTGGGGGGAGGGGGGAGACAAGAAAAAAATATACATATAAGATGGTAAAATGACTCAAAAGTGAGGATTAGCCAAATATGAAATGGAAACATCATATAAACATTTTTGTACCAAGAGAACATTATTATTTGCTTGAAATGTCATTTCAGAATTACATCAATTCTGTCATTCTGTGTGATCACTTGGAGTTTTTATGTTTAGACTGTGACTGCTGAGATATTTAAAAGCTGCTGGAATCAATCTGGAAGAAACAAAGATATAGATAAAATTGAAATTTTGGAATTTAATGTATAATATGAATTTTATGACTCCGCTAAATGTATCTTCATGTTTACATCTTTTTCTTTGTGAACACATATATTGCTTTATGTGAAAAGACTTCAAAATTAAAATGAATAAAAGGCTTTTTTGATTACCAATGAATAGACATAGATTTATTTAACTGACTATGTGGTCTAAGAATTGCAAAGAGGATCAAATTTGACAGTCACTAATGAATTTGTAGAGGTTATTTAATAAGAAAACAAGAATAGACTGAAATTTGGTTTGGGTGGTGTATGTAGAGCTTCGTTATTGCTTCAGAATAATGTGTATATATATATATATAAATACATTAATAAGAGAACACTCATGCATCACTTTTTTTTCCTTTTGTACTTTACTACTTATTTTTTACTTTTAAGTGGAATGATTACATATTCCGATTGCAAGTATTTAGCAGTCATCTGATGAAACTCATTTATTTTATTAATGAGGAAATTGAGGCACAGCTTGGTTAAGTAACTTGGCTCATGCTTTTCTCATGCTACACCAAAATAACAGCAAGTATAATGAAAAGGGAAAAAAAACCAAGTCTGAGCTCTGCTCCACACAGGAGAGTGCCAGCTCAGTGTCACTCAGCATGTCAGCCTTGCTCTACTGAAGCAGAGAACACCTGTTAAATCTAACAGGGGAGAGGGTGCCCTATTATTGGTGAATAGTACGTGTCTCACCATGTGCTCCAATAGCCATTATTTGATGTAAGAACCTTTAATCCTAGAGGACATGACAGAGATGTTGAAAAGGACAAAGCCATCCCTTGGTGTCAACAAAGAGAATATGTGAATTTTGTCTTGCTTGAAAGTTCTCACTGAATAACAATGGATTTCTTGAAGCAAGACAGAGTGAATCTTTTGTTGTTTAGCCAGTCTACAAAATTATACACACTGTTCTTCTTTCAAGCAGTGATGGTGAAGAGGTGTATATTTACAGGGTACATTATTGGAAGAAAGAATCATTTTTGGAAAAATCAATGTGGTGCAGACAATGAGACTCGTGTGTTGCCAGGAGAATGGTAATAAGAATAAGAGGTGACACTTAATGGGTACTAGTGGTAGGCCAGGCATCTACACTCAGCATTTTCTGGGCCTATTGCCTTTAATCTTTACAATAATCGCTGTGAGTTAGACAGTTGTTATTATTTTTCTATTTTATAGTAAGATAGAAAGTGGTGCAGTCAGGGTCAATCAGACCTTTCTGATTAAATTCAGACCCTCACTTTTCATGCTACGCTCCATATGTGGCATGTGCGATATGTTACACTACTGCTCTGAGTTTGATATGATCATTATAGGAGAAATGCAAGTGGAGGCAATGTAAAGTATATTCTGCTTTTAAATTATAGTACAGTACTACTATAGCTTTTAAAAACCAAGATGCATAAGAATAGTAACTTCATATGTCAACATGGCCTTCAAAATTCTTACAAGTGAGCTTTTTCTGAAAAAGTCATTGATTTCTATGACTTTTCTTTTCCATCCTTTAACTGATCATATAGAACAGAAACTCAACTTAGTTCAAAATTTATCTGACTAAATATCAAGAAAAAAAAATGTTCCTTCAGACTGGAAGTTCCCAACGTCAATAACAGAATGCCCAACATACATCATCATTCCTGAGAGCCATGACATGATACTTGATATAGCCAAAGTAATCAGTACTTCACAGTCAATGAAAACATCTTATTCCATTTTTATTCTAAACGTTCAATAGTTCAAACAGAATGAGAGAGTTCTTTATGGAAGCTGAGAGTAAGTAGTACAAATTTTTAACTTCTATGTATTTTATATGTTTGAATCATCTACAGAGCCAAACTATTTTAATCAGTTTAAAAAGGCAAATATCGAATCAATTTTCTTTCCAGAAAGACTCACAGGTTGTGCTGCAGTTGTGGATAAGACCTGATCATAACACAGAATTGGAAATGTAACCATGCAGCTTGACTGCAGAAGTGGAATTGACTAGCCACTAGATAGAGGCTCTGAATGGCTTTGCCTACAGATAACCCCAATCACTGATGGAGACAGTCCACAGCAAGAATGACTGACAGCTCTCATCTTGCATGGCAGCTCCAAAGCATTGGTAGTGGCTCCCTGGAGAAGGATTCTAAAATATGGAGAAGAATTTTTGAGGTTGCATCTGAGCTTGGTGGGTTTAAGTGACATGATGGATTATTAATGTCTACCATTTGCATGGCAGGGAGAGTATGACATATGCCAAATATTGACCATTTGTGACTATATTTTCATAAGTGAAAATGGGAACTTATGGCCAAAGGATAGGAAGAAACAGTGTTTTTCCATCACAAGCTGAAAGACAAGTGCTCCTAGAGATCCTGGCTTACTTTTGTTGCCCATGTGGCCCCATCCTGTGATGTAACAGTACGTATCAGGCTCTACTGACTGCTCCGGGCTGGGCAAGCAGACGGGCCGGACATGGCTTGTCTCATTGATGTCTTCACTTAGCTCGACAATGCTGATGTCATAGTCCACCACTGCTCGACTGTAGCGAGGGTGCAGGATGATGGTCTTCACCAAGCGCATCTGCATGAACACCGAAGGGTGGTCTAGGTTGTTGATGCCCAGAACCACTTTCCAAATGGCGGCATTCTCTCTCCTAAAATTATAATTCAAGAGTTATTGGCTACTTAAGCTCTAATTTATCTTTTAAAATTTACATGCAGTTTTTTAACATTTTATTTATGCAAATAATGGCTACTTCCATGCCCACCTCCCAATGTATTCATATAAGAAGTGTTCATATAATGGCTTGAGTGATCAGTAAATAAGTACTATTGTTGCAGAAAGCAGAGCTCACGCTTCTTGAATGAGGCTATTTCTTGAAAATAAAACTTATTCAGTTTTAAAGGCAGGCAGGGTATTTCTTGCTTCACTGAATGAGAAAGACAATGCAAGACATGAAGAAGAGACAGGAGGCAGGAAAAATGAAAGAGAAGAATAAAAGACCAAGACAAAGAGATCCCTCCAAGAAAGACCAAGTGTCTCAGAGAAAGGTCAAGTTTTCAGGGGAGGCTTCTGCAAATTGCAAGCCAAGGGCTTAAAAAGTCACCCACAATTTACAATGGTTAGTCTCAGACTCCATTGATTTTGAACTTTTATGAGCAATATTTTACTCAATTCCCACCTTAAAACACTCTCTTCACTTCGATTCCAGGTCTCTCCATGCTCCAGAACTTGCTCCAATCTCATGATCCCCTCCCTCTCAGTCTTCTCTTCTGAGTCTCCCTCCTGAGCTCTCACTGCCTCTGTTGAAGTGCTCCAGGACTCTACCCTCAACCCTCTCTTCTCATTCCACACTCACTCACTTGATGATCTTGCATGTCCCACCCACACCTTGCCAACTCCCAAATGTGTACTTCCAGCTCCAACCTCTCCCCTGGACTGTAGACTTGAATGTTCAGTTTATTCAACACACTCACTTGGATATTTGATAATAGCTAAAATTTACTGAAGGCTTACCATGAATCTGGTGATGTTTAAGTACTCAGAATTCACCTGACAGTGATTTAATACTTGTAACCACCAGTTACCCACCTGAATCTTTTTTTCTCTCTTTCACCCAACATTGAAGTGGTGAACGTTATCTTCACCACTCCTATTTTCAAACATATCCTGCATCTTGTTATTTTTCCTTCTTCACTGCTACAACCTTAGTCTAAGCTATTCTCATCTCCATGGACCACTGCAATGGCCTCCCAAATAGTGGCCCTTCTTTTGATCTCAGTCCCTATAAACTGTTTTTCTCATAGCAGTCAGAGTGATCTTTTAACAATAATATTATATCAGATCCATTTCCTGGTCGTAATTCTCCAAGGACTTCGTATCACACTTGGGACAAATTCTAGACTCCTATTCTGGCCTTGGAGGCCCTACACCATATGCTTCATTCCAACCTCAAAGACTTTCTATTTTTGGACATGCCAGTGGGCATCCACAACTCGGGAGCTCTTCCCTTGTTGTTCCCCTAGCTCTCAAAAGGTTCCCACCTGCAGTCCTTCTCTTCATCCAGGTCTCAACTCAAACACTACCTCCTTGGAGACATTGCCCTGACCACCCTGCCCAACCCTTACTCTACCCCCACCACTCTACTCTTGACCCTGCTTCAAGTTTCTTTTCATAGTATTCATTGATATCAATGACATTGACACATCTGTCTGCTCTCTGTCTGGCCCCACTGAATGTTAGTTTGGTCTTGTTCACTGCCACATTCACAGGGCCTGGTACCTGGCATGTGGTAAGTTCTCAAAAAGTTCTTGTTTAATGATGGCTCGATGTATGTTGTTTAAAACAGTTACTAGTGGCAGACCTCAACCATGTAGACAAGGCCTATTCATCATCATTCCCTCTATCCTCTCCTCATCTCACAGCCCCTCCTTCTCCAGAGTGGGTCAAGATCAAAGGCAGGGGCATTTATTGGACAATAGTGATGGGGGAGCTTTAATGTGGACAAACCCTTATACTCTGGTACTGTGAGCCAGCCACACCACCATAGTCTCCACTTGGAAGATTGTGGTCAAGTCAACAAAAGTAGGTTGGTTTGACCATCTAGAACTGTCACTTTTCAACCCAGGCTCAATATGGAGTCATCTGGGGAGTTTTTAATATAATGATTCTTTGGGCATCACCCCATATTAACTGAAACAAGCTCTTGTGCTGGGATCTGGGAATTAGTATTTTTAAGAGCTCTCTTGGGAATCTCAGGCAAAAACTCACCCACATCCCTCCTTTCCTTAGCATGTCTTTCTTCACCATCCGTGTGACAAAGATTCCAAAGGCTGAGACGTCAGGAGGACTGGGAAAGAGGGGCCAAAGTTGGCACTCAAAGCACTTTTAGTAATGTTAGATACTTGGGCCAGTCTCTGCTGAAAAGCTCCTCTACACAGTTACGCATTCTGTCCTTTTTCCATTTTAAAGAAAAATAATTTCAGAGCTATCAAAAGAGAAATTGATGCCACTCATTGAATAGAGAGATAGAGATAGAAAGAGATGTACAGCAATTCCTCTATGCCTAGCATTGGGCTAGGGATTACAGTAAAAAGCAAGAAAGATGTGATCCCTACCTACCCAAACTCTAGGATTGAGTGAAGATGGACAATTAAAGAAGCAATTACAATAAATTGCAGGAAGTGCCATTACATGAACATTACAAGATGTTACAGAAGAATTATTTTTCATTATGCAAGGCTGTCGCTCAAAGAACATGCATTCTTCCTTTCTCTTCCTTTTTTCTTTCTTGCTTTCCTTCCTTTCCCCCCTCCTTCTTTCCTTCGTGCCTTCTTTCTTCTCTCCCTCTCTCCCTTCTTTCCTTTCTTCTTCCTCTTGTTCCTTCCTTTTTTTTTATTCCAGAGGTGCGAGTGCATGACCATTTGAGAAATTTGATATTTACTTGAGATTTTATTGTTTAGGACATTTTAAACCAAACAATAGTTCACTTCAATTTCTGCCTATTTAGTAGCTTCTTGCTCTTTAAGAAGAGTTACTAAGTTTTGGTTACCACAAGCACTCATCCATCTTTTTAAATGTGTCAATAAAACTGCTAAACCTTAACTCGTATCCAGCAGTCTCATGCTACAAAAGCTAGTATCTTTATGGCATTAGTATCCACCAAAAACAAAACAACAACAACAAAAAAAAGACACATACTTTTTGGTATTTGGTGACAATATTGTTATTTTTTTCTTTTTGTTATGAGTATGATGTGAATAATAGTCTCTTTTAATATTTTTCCCCAAGTCTGGTAAAAACCAGGAAAACAACAGCCTGATGTTTGAAAGGGTTATCCGAGGTGAACGAGATGTGTATAAATGGTAAATATGTATATTAATCATGAACTAGAAAGAATGAGTCAGGAATAATGTCAGAGGCAGACTTGTTTCTGGGTGGAAATGAAAAAGAGGGGAGACAATTTGGGGCCATATGAATGCCACATGAATTTAAAATCAGTTCAAAAGTACCCATTGGAGAAACTCATGGGAGCAGGCTATGATCAAATTGCTATTTTAGTAAAAAGAGCTAAATCAGACTGCAAAGAAAAAGCCCAGTATAGAAGCTGACCATCTTTAGCATAAAGAGGACTACTTCCCACTTGGCTGTCAAGCCTCAAAGCAGCAGCAAGGAAAACAGGCACATCCTTAAAGAAGTTTGTGCAAAGACGGAGGAAGCACAAAGTGACAAGCACAAGGTGAAGCCAGGTGACAATCCACCACCCACAGTGATAATGGCCAAGGAAGATGTTAGGAGACCTTTTCATCTTTCATTCTTGCTCTAGATGGTATTTCATTCCTTGAAATTCACATTTAGGGTTTAATTTGCTCATGTTTATAGTATTGTTTTAATAATGAGTATTCTTTATAGATAACATTGAGACAGTATTATTTCAATTTACAATTCTTCAATTATCAACTCCAAAGAGAAAAAAAACAGATGCAGTTTGGCACCCAGAGGAATTTATACAGAATTGCAGGTGCAATATTTCTGGATGCAATAACCAGTCACTTTGGTTTGCAATTTGCCATACTTGATTGTAGTTTAGACATGACAATGTCATTTTCACTTAATTCAGCTAGCCAAATTTAGAGATTTTCTGTCTTTATCTTGTCCTCCAGAAACTTACGAACTATGCCAGCAATTTGTTTTTCATTCCATCTACTTTAGTGACATGTAGTGGGATGACAGTTTTTCATGCAGGTTTCCTGGAGAGGAATTAGACGCTTCTGATCATTACTAGTTGTGTGTCAGCCAGGGCAGTTCATCCCTCAGTCTTTCAGAGGTGGAAGAAAGCAAGAAAATTGCTTGTTAAATTACCCCTGAAAGTCAAAGTCTTTCTTCCTTAGAACTTTTGAAGTTGTTATTAAGGCATATGGGACTTGATCTGATCAATTTAGTGTCTCGTTGTAATTAAGTTTTTAATTTCCACTTGAGATTTTTCAATTAAGTTTTTAATATCCATTTGGGATTTTTAAATTCCTCTCCATGGAAGAGCAAAACAAACTTGTCTTTTTTACATTGATATAATTAAAAGAGACAGGCTAAGAAGACCTACATATGGGTCACGCTGGGTCTTGCCAAAGTATAGAATCAGGATATGAAGTAAAAGCCATTAATTGCAGAAATTCATGGCTCCAGCAAAAAGTAAGGTTTACAATGAAAAGTTCCCAGACACTTGTGGGACCACTGAAGAGGTTATAAAGTAAAATAGGGGTTATTAGCACACATTCAAGCAAAGGCTTGTTTGAAGTTGGACAATTTTTAACTTCTTATGGATAGGACAGGTCCCTCTTGACAGTTCTGGTTAGTGTTCCATGAAATTTCACCAAGGCCTTTCCATTTCCTTAATTATAAACACACACTTCTTCTCTATTGCAAGGTTTCTCCTTAATTCACAGATCAGTCAGTGAAGGAGGAAACTTGGAAACTCCATATGAAAATGACAAAAGTGGCATGTAAACCTGGATGAACCAACACATGAAGAGGGTTGTTCCCTTAAAGAACTGTTGTATTTGTTTAGGTAATCATCTTTTGATTATAGTATACTCTTGTTAGTATAATCTTCTGCTTATCATGGGGTTACAAATCAGAACTGGAAAAGACATCTGTCCCCTTCCAAAGCAATAACATTGCAGTGTATTTCTTGACAATGTATACAGACTCTTCTAGTCATTCTGGGTCTTACACATTAAAAGTTCTCAAGAAGAGGTACTGGTTTGATTTGTTTATGTTTTATTTCGCCCAAAAGAGTAACCAAGGGCCGGCCCGGTGGCGCACTGGATAGTGTGCCGCTTGGGAAGCGCAGTGGCGCTCCCACCCGAGGGTTCGGATCCCACATACAGACCGGTTCCCGCTCACTGGCTGAGCGAGGTGCGGGAGCAACACCGAGGGTTGCAATCCCGTAGCCGGTCCCGGTCCGGTACGGGGGCGACACTGAGGGTTGCGATCCGTTGCTGGACACGGAAAAAAGACAAAAGACAAAAAAAAAAAAGAGTAACCAAATAACTGGATACACACATTCCTATTGCATAATCATGTATAACATTTTATTCTAATGATTTGTTTAAATGTCTGTCTCCTCACTACATTAGCACCTTGAAGGGACAAAGCATAGGTCCATCTCTGTAATCTCCTTATTGAGCAAAATGTATGTGCCTGGACTCCAACCTCTAGAAACAAGAGTACCAGAAGGTGAGTAGCTTTGTATAAGGAAGTTTATTGCAGTATGGTTTAAATGGCAGCAAACTGGAATTAAACCACATGTCCATTAACTGGGGAATTACAGAAAAATTTATGGTCAATCTGTATTAGAGAATATCATTTAGTTTTGAAAAAGAATGAGCTAGAGTTATATCAAATGACCTGGAGGATGACCATGATATATTGCCACATGAAAAGCAATTTACAAACAGAAGTGCAGAGCGTGATTCCACACTGTAAAAATGAATAATGATACCCTGTGAAAAATGTATGTGTTTAAAGCCGTGGAGGAACATTCGCCAGGCTGTAACAGGGGTTACCTCGAGGAAGACAAGCAAACAAAGGTGAGAGGGTGTGGGAGGAGATAAATAGCACCAGCAAAATGCAAAAACATACTCATGCCATAATGCTAAGGGGAAATGCAGAATGCACAATTTTAGCAATCATTCTTTTTTAAAAGAAAAATTTACCATTATCAAGGTCTTACTTGTTGATGCCAGGCATGGTTCTTAAGGCTTTACATAAACTATTCTTAAGGCTTTACATAGACTATGCCCGCACCAACCCTGTGAGGCATGGACGGTTATTTCCCTCACTTCACAGAAGAGGAAACTGTGGCCCAGAGAAGTTAATGAATTGGCCCGTGGTCACACAATAAGTAGCAAAGCTAAGAAAAAATAATATAATAGGCAATAGGCAAAAAATGAAATTGCCTATTTTCTAGAAATTAACTTGGTCAAATGAAAATAATCAATTTAGTTAGGTAACAGAACTGTGGGTTACTTTTGTCTTAAATTCTTGCTATTATTTAATATTACTTTTAAATAAAGTACAACTATTCAAACTAAATAGAATTAAATGAGTAGTATGATGGTTTTTAGAACCTATCTTCAGATCCTTTGACATTCCTCCTGCTGAGAGGGAAGGTCTGTGATTCTCCCCTTGGAATCTGGTGGGGCTTGTGACATCTCTGACCAACTATGCCACAGAAGCAATGTTGTGTGTCTTCAGAGGCTGGGTCAAAAAAGGTGAACACCACATCACACCACACCACACCACAGAAGCAATGTTATGTGTCTTCAGAGGCTGGGTCAAAAAAGCTTCCCCCTGGTTCCCTTTTTGTGAAGTTCATTCTGTAGGATGCCAGTCACCATGATGTGAGTCCCACACAGAGGGGAACTGAGGCCTCAGCCAACACACAGCACCTACTGCCAGACTTCAGATTACTTCAGCTCCTAGCCTTAGAATCTTCCAGCTGAGGCCCAGACATTGCAGGGCAGACACAAACTGTGCCAGCTATGTCCTGTCCCTATGTCTGACCCCCAGAATCTTCTGTGAGCAAAATAACTTTCTGGGTTTTTGTTGGTGGTGATGGTGGCTTCTTTTGTTTGCTCCAAAATCACACAGCAATAGATATCCAGGAAAGATGGGGACCCTGTGCGTAACGTTTGTCAATGTGGGATACGTTTCCCCTTGATCTTATTTTTCTGCTCCCATTAGGCATATTGTGATGGTTAATTTCATGTAACAGTTTGGCTGGGCCGTAGTGCCCAAATATTTGGTCAAATATTATTCTGAACATTTCTTTGAAGGTATTTTTTGAATGAGATTAATATTTAAATTGGTGGACTTTGAATAAAGCAAATTACCCTCCATGATGTGGGTGGGTCTCATCCATTCAGTTGGAGACCTTAATGGAACAAAACCTAAAAGACAAGAAGAAATTCTGCCAGCAGACTGCCTTTGGACCCTAAATGCACCTCTCGTGTGAGGATCCAGCCTGCCAGCCTCCCCCATCAGATTTTGGACGTACCGAGCCTCCACAATCATGTGAGCCAATTCCTTAAAATATATCTCTGTCATCTATCCTTCTCTCCATCCATCCATACGTATACTGAATAATACACATATTATACCTTTAACTCTGTTTCCCAAACTACTCACCAGTTGCTCCTGCATCTGAATCTCACTGAAGTATCCAAATAAATCATCTCAGTTTAAATTCATATTTAAGAGGTCTTAAAAAGACTAATACTCATTGGGAAGTCAATCTTCTAAACTTCTTCCTCTTTCTCTCTCCTTAGGATGTACATCATAAACAATATACATCCCTTGCCAAAAAAATGAGCAACACAAATAAAGGTACATCAAAAAGTTCATGGAAAAGTAGAATTAAAAGATAATACAAATCTTTCTATAAACTTTTGGAAGACCATTCATATAAGATGGCAACACCAAAGGTAGAAAAATCTAGGTAGATAAAAAAGCCTGGGAAGTAGATCAGCTGTGACTGGTGCCCTGAAATGGTTTCATGGAGTTACATAGGCCACTGAGAATTCCCAAGTGACAAAATGATCAGACCTAGGCAAAGCGACAAGAGAAAAGGTGCAGCTCACCCTTCAAAGCAGTGGGCGACTGTCAGAACCCACTTCTTGGCAATGAGGACACAGCCACAAATGTGCCCACTGGGTTCACTCTGCAGAGAACACTGCCACGGCCACCTTCCTGGGCGACTCGTCCGACCCCCGAGGATCCTCTTGTTCATTCGGGCAGCAGGGCGGCGCCCACAGTCTACCAAGGAGCAGAAGATACAGATTGTGATTTGCTGCCAAACCCAGCTAAACGCTTAACTTTTTGCTGTACAAGTGATCATTTTTTCCCCTGAGCCAATCCAGTTAAAGTTCATATCCCGTGGCTACACCACTAATTCTCTTACCTTGCTTAGTACACAGTAGAGAAACCTTACTTCTGCTCTGACAAGACTGCCTAGATTTGGGAATATAAAATGGCATAATATTAAGTCATATATTTACTGTTCTCTCCACTTTACCAGTGAAAGGCAAGACATAGATTCAGTTGTTACCAGAGATCACATTCTTTGAGCAACAATTACTGTTAGTGCAGGAATTCACAAGGCAGGGATACAGTCAGGTATCACCTCGAGGCTGGTGTATAAGGAGAATGTGGACTTCTAATTTTTTTTTTAGTTTATTTACTGTCATCATGATATAATTTCACATTTGTGGGAAGAGGAACCATTGTAACAAAGTTTCCCACATCATTCTGGCTGATGGTACCACCCACAATGTTGACTCAAACCATGATGCCATGATTGGGGGGTGGGGGGAGAACTGGGCTGCTGCTTAGGATCTGTGGTGAGGAGGGAGCATGTCAGATTTTTATGCTTATGGAGAAGAATATGTGCCCCACCCAAAAGTTAAGAAATAGTCTGAAAGGAATAAAATATTACTTCAGAAATGTAAAAAGCAGAAAAAGAAATGGAATACTCAGACTGGAAAAGAAGCTTACCAAGACTGTCAAGCTTAAATTGTGAATATATGAGGACTTAACAGGAGGAGAGGGGAATTAAATGTATTCCATATAACTCTAGATGGCATAGTCAGAACCAGTTGGTAGAACTTAGAGGAATTGTGGGTTCAGGAAAGAAAGAACTTCATAAAAATCTAAGTTAAAACTTTGAAGGCAAGAACCTGGGCCATGTTTATGGCTCTCTCAATGTGGTTGCATAAGAGAATTCAGTTTGGTGCAGGTTAATTTTAATTACTAAGTACTTTTCTAACCATGAAACATTTATTCACAATGTAAATAAAAAATTTTTTTCAATTAAAAAAAAAAACACCTTGGGACTTTCAAAAATACTATGATGTGCTTAGAATCCTAGATCTTTTAGATAAAAGAAAATCCTAAATATGTCATTTCCATATTCCTTTTTGAAGATTTATTGTATTTTTATTTCTTGCTAAATTTGCACAGGGATATGTGTAACTATTCATATACAATGAATTATATAACACAGGAAAAGCTCATTTGCTTTCTCCTTTACCACAGTCTAAAGTCCTATCTCCTCCTTACTTTCTACCTCATATCCTTAATTTCTTTGTAGCACTTCCCAATATCTGAAATCTTTTTTGTGTGCTACCCATACGATGCGCATTCCTTGAAATCATGGTATTTGTTGCCCTCATTCACTTCTACATCCCCTCACAGTCTGACACTGAACCTGGAACAGAGGAGATGCTCAATAATTAGCTGTTATTTGTTAGATTGAAAAATCACAGCTTTTAGAAATAGTAAAACTCATCATAGACTATCCATCCTAACTCAATTGAAAACTGGGGTTACATAAGATCACACATCTAGTTAGTAGCCAAGACTAGAACCATGTCTACCAATTCTCAATTTAGAATGAGTTATTTATTTACTCATGTATTTAACCTTAAAGAGCTTTTCTGGCATTCCTACTTTGGTGAAACAAATCACTCTGATGAAAGATTCAGGTCATCGTTTTGGAAGAAGTAACTTCAGTTGACAAATATTCAGAAATTTGGCTGCAAAGTTTGGTCTATGAAGAAAACATCAAGACGTTCTAATGGGAAATGGTTCAGCTTTAGTTTTCTTCTTTGGAATTCATAAGAAGGGGTTTCCCTAGCACTTATTATAAGCTTTGGAGTCTGATAAAATTAGTTTGAGACAATCAGTTACCATCTGTGGACTGTAAGCTCTGAGCAAGTTATTTAAATATTCTAAAGTTTAGTTTTCTCATCTGTAAAAATGGGATAATTATCCCTAATTCACAAGTTGAACAAATCCTGTGGTGTGAGGATTAAATAAGTCAATGTATGCAAGAGCTAGTTCTGTACCTGTGATGTAAGAAGCACCTAGGTACTAATTCCTTCAGTTTATGTTTCTACTGTACCCCACCCACAGGCAAGGGTGGCAACCCTGCTTAAGATGCCATATTTTATTTAGAGAAAATTCTTCAGCAGTGTACTTTTAAGGTACTTGATAATAATTTCATTTGGTGTATATTCTTTTCTCATATTCTCCAAGTTTTATCAGTTATCATCACTTCAATTCCCTCTGTTAACAGTTTCATGTAGCATATGTAGGAAACGCAGACTTGAGAATTTATTTCAAACAGGATATGAAAAAAACCCAAGATTAGAACCCCAATTCTTCCCCCCTACCATGATAGTTTCTGTAATAGTCATTAAAGGAAGACTTAATTTTCCAAGAGGAAAACAAATCTATGTCTAGAAGGAAGAACTAAAATCAAGTAATGCTGAAATGTAAAGGCAATTGTCATTCTATGGAAGCTCTTTACTGATGTGACAAAGTGACAATTTTAGCTTAAGTTAAAAATGGAAGAAAGGTCCTGATGATAAACTCCTGCTCCATAATCTGACTTTACACAGATCTTATGAAACGGTTCTTACCCATTTACCAGCAGTTCCTGCAAAGTGGTCCCATTGCGGCTTTCCCAGTCAGACTGTAACGACAGCCGTTGCTGGTCTTGCTCCTGTTCCTGTATCAATTCGGTCACAGATGGTTCTCTGATATAAAGCAAATACCAGATAAATATTTAAAGTACAATGATCTTTGAACAGGTATTATCATTAATTAACACTCACTGTCTTTCAAAAGGAAGCATTAAATTATAAGTCAATATTTCAAGAGGGGAAGTTACTAAGAGTATATGGAGGCAATAAACTTCGAAATTGTAACAACTGTTTTAGTCACTCTCTCCACTGACATGTATTTGAACTTCATGAGGTATCAGAATTCTAACGGATACAATGTAAAAGTTCTAACATTTAAAAAACAAGAGCAACTTTAGGCAGAGACCAAAAGTAAAATAAAATTTATCTAGCTGGAGTTTTTCCCTCCTCTTTTCTTGCCCATTGTAATCCTGCAACATAGCAATACCTTAAAATAAATAGAGTCAATGGCCATTGAGTATCTATTTAGACAGTATAAAAATTGTAAGTGGAATTTCTTCAACACATTGCAAAATCTTTATATGCACTAAAAATTAAGAACTCTGGAAAATAGAGATGGCAGTTAGACAACACTACTTTGCTCTTTATATATATTCTCACTCAGTCTCCACCAATTCTTTTCTGTGTGTCTCATTCATTTAAACACATATGGTTACACCATATTCAAGATTTAAAACCTTAGGTTTCAAAAGTATTTATATTTTTATATAAAATATCCTATTCTTCATTAAATAGTTGTCCTTAGGCAATCCATATTTGAAGCAAACCTTTTGGATTTTTAATCTAAATAAAAAATTACTACCTGATGGTATCAAGGGTAGAGGAGGTAAAGAGATTAGTTTCAGACAAGGAAAGGAGGGTTTCTTCTGCAACTGGACGGAAATAAGAGAAAAGGAAGCAGGCATTTTGCTGCAGTTGGAGAAGGGCAAGAAGTATATTATGAGAATTGAAATCAGGTAGCCTCTACTTTTCAAATAGGAGATGAGCACCTCTGAGAAAGTCACGGGGTGGCAGGGGTGCACAACTATGCAGAAAGTGACTTGTATATGTAAGTATTCCCTGGTGGAACTGCTCAGAGAAACACATCAAAGAGAACTTAGAAGAATGGCAAGCATCATTGAGGGTCCAAATGAGCCTGGAAACATTCTGGTGGCACCAAGTTTGTATACTTAGTGACTTTCTTCTTTGATAATTGGATGCCATTTTTTACACACAAAAAAGAAGCAGCAGCAGCATGGATGCAGTGGAAGGAATGAAAAGTTGGACTCAGTAGCATTGAAAGAAAAATTATCATTTCAACTGATTAATAATTATTAAGAGAAACTATTGTAATCACACAAAATAAAAGGAACAAAAACCTTCCCAAACTGCTACTTTTAAAAAGACAAGGGAAAACTCTATAAAGAGAACACTTGATGATAGAAAGATTAAAAACAAAAGAGTCCTTAACAAAGAATGAATATTAACCATTTTATTTTAAAACAAATGTCATAAACCCGAACCATACTGTAAGAAGAAGTGCACAAGATTGAAATTTATTTAGAAACTTGAATGAACTCTGTTAGATTATTGAAGACGTCATAACACCTACTGCCAAATGAGATGTTTTCTTCTGCTTGACCAGAATGAGAGTTTGGCTTTCTATGGACCCAGAGGTGCTGTATGTGGAAGCATAGTGGGATGGAAAGTATAAAAGTTAGAAGCCACACATACCAGTCATGGTGTTTATCATGGTACCTGTATCCTGAGAATTTCTTTCTGCAATTCAACTATGGGCCTCCTAAATCCAGGCATTTTACTGGCAAAAGCCAATGGAAGAGCAACTTCAGATTTTGTTGTTTAATCCAGTCATATTTAGTCAAGTATTCATGGGGCCACAAGGGACTTGCATGAGGAGTAAAATTCAGCATAGATTTGCAGTGATAGTGTGTAGGAAAATCATTGCAAGGAGCACTTCAGCCTTTCAACCCACAAGCTCTCTCTAGTTACCCTGAGGAAGGGTTCCATAGAGCATTGCACATAGGATGGTTTTGCATTTTGTTCATTAGCTTGCAACAAGAAAGACAATTTAGACTGAATATCTCAGTTACATCAAGTGGAAAATTTCAGAAATTCATCAAGCAGAGGGGAATGTCATTACAAAAACTGGTTTTTCATGCAATTTTTTAATACTGACATGTGCTGCACATTAGACCTCCAGAACTTATTCATCCCACATAACTAAATCCTTGTACCCTTTGACTAACACCTCCCCACTTCCCTCAACCCCCAGTCCTGACAACTACCATTCTACTCTCTGCTTTTATGAATTGACTTTTTTAGATTCCACACGAGTGAGATCATGCAGTATTTGTCTTTCTATGCCTGGCTTATTTCACTTAACATAAAGTCCTCTGAGTTTATCTATGTCATCTCAAATAGCAGGATTTTCTTTTTCAAAGCCAAATGATATTTGTGCGTGTGTGTGCGTGTGTGTGTGTGTATGTTTTTTTAATTCACTCATTCATCAGTAAACACTTAGGTTGTTTCTATATCTTGGCTATTGTGAATAATGCTGCAATGAACACGGGAGTGCAGATATCTCTTTGAGATCCTGATTTCATTTCCTTTGAATGTATATCCAGAAGTGGAATTGCTGGATCATGGTCGTTGTATTTTTAATTTTTTAGGAACCTTCATTCTCTTTTCCCTAATGGCTGTATCAGTTAACATTCTTACCAACAATGTATAAGGGTTTCCTTTTCTTCACATCCTCACCAACACTTCTAGTAGTTTTCTCTTTTTGATGATAATCATTCTAACAGATATGAGGTTATATCTCATTGTGATTTTAATTTGCACTTCCCTCATGAGTGACGTTAAGTACCTTTTCTCATTCCTGTTGGCCATTTCTATGTCTTCTTTTGAGAAATGTCTATTCAGGTCATTAGTCCATTTTTTAATTGGGTAATTTTTTTTTTTTTGCTATTAAATTGTTTGAATTTCTTATGTATTTTGGATACTAATCTTATCACATATATGAGTTTTTCCTTAAAAGATTTTTTAAATTATAAAAGTTGATAAAGTTTGGGTGTTATTGTCCCCGCAAAACTCATGTGGAAATCTGATCCCCAATGTGGCAGGGTTAGGAGCTGTTTGAGTCACGGGGACAGATCCCTCATGAATGGATTAATGCTGTCCCTGGGGGGTGGGGGTAGTGAGTGAGTTCTTGCTTTATTAGTTTCCCAAGAGCTGGTTGTTTAAAAGACGCTGGCACCTCCCCTCTCTCTCTTGCTTCCTCTTGCCATGTGGTCTGCTTGTACCTGCCGGCTGCCTGCCACTTTTCTTCATGAGTAGAAGCAGCCTGAGGCCCACACCAGATGCAGCTGTCCCAGAATCGTGAGCCAAATACACTTTTTTAATAAATATAAATTACCCAGTCTCAGGTATTCTGTTATAGCAACACAAAAATGAACTAATACAAAAGTAATACTTATACATAGAAAAAAATGACTAAAGTTATACAATGAAAAAATTGTCTTTCCATCCCAGATCTATAGAAACAAACACTGCAAGTAGTGCTTGGGTGTCCTTGCCAAGCTTTTTCTGTAATTCATATAGTATACCCCCCCCTTTTTTTTTAGCCCATACACTTTGTTCTGTGTGTTGATGATGTTTTAATTTACTGATTTATCTTAGAATTCTGTTCATCATAATAGCTAACATATGTTAGTTATTTTTTATCTGACAATCACTAAAAGACTTATTTTATCTTATTTAATCCTTTCAGCAACTTTACAAAGTAAGCTTTATTATTATTCCTCATTTTGGAGATGAAAAAATTGACGCAAAGACAGAGTACATTGCACAGAGAGAAGATGGCAGAGCTGGTAATTAAATCCCTATGATCTGATGCCGGGGTACCACTCCTTACACTGGGACCACCACGTGGCCCTCCTTCATTTACAACACACGCCATATTCTTTTGATAGCTGCATAATGTTTGTTACATGGATGTTCATATGGTTACTCAACCAATCCACTATTGATGCACATGTAAGTTATTTTTTATTTTTGGCTATAACAAAATAGCAGCACGTAACATTCTAAACATTTACCTTCGCCTACAAGCACAAATTTGATTTTAGAATAAATTCCTAGAAATAAAATAATCATATCAAAATTTAAATTTTTGATTAATATTATGAACTTCCCTTTCAAATAGTAACATCAATATACATACACATCAAGAGTATGTGTGTCTGCACTTTTCAATTTTTAAAACTATATACATAACACAAATAATGCTATTAGAACTTATCTGGAACTTTACAGCTGTTCAAATTTTGTTTGATGATTGGTATTCCTTTTAACTTCAATACTTAACATCTTTTTCAAATTATGTCAAGAGAAAAAAATAAAGAAATCTTATGTAAAGAGCAAAAAAGCAAAAAGCATTTTGCCAGTGATTAAGCGTCAAAGTCACTGTATCCTCTAAGAGTCTGTGCAGGGAATGCACAACCGAAATGCTTCTATAGCAGCCATGGGTCAAATACCCAGAAGAAAATTTAAGCAATGATCTAATCCAATGCCTAGAGTAAGAGTACAAATGCTGGCCCATATGACATATGTCTACATAATTAGATGTTATAAATCAAGTTAACAAGTTGTTAAACAAAATATATTCTATCCTCCTATCTTGACAAATGTATTGTTAGGTTCGTAGAATTCCTGTACTCCTTGGAACAATGGTTTTCAAAGTTCATCAGAAACACCTGGAGAAACTGTTACAACACAGACTGTTGACCCCAGCCTCAGATTTCCTGACTCAGTAAGTCTCAAATGTGGCCCCAAATTTGCCTACCAGGATCACAGGTGATGTTGATGCTGCTGATCTGGAACCACATGTTGAAAACACTGCTTGAGAATAGGGACCAGGCTCCACGTGGACATAACTCCTTAGCCAACAAGTTTGGCCCGAGGAGGAGGACCTGAATGGTCCTTCTACATCTGGTTTTCACACCTTAGGTACTACTGACATTTTATCACAGATAATTACTTTTGGGGCTGTCCTG